GCTGGTTGTGACCGCAGCCCGGAGCCCCGTGGTGGGGCGCTGGGGAACGGCGGCGCGGGGCTCGGCCCCCGCCACCGGCGGTCACGGTGGCGAAGGGAGCGCCGGTGCGGCGCGTTCCCCCCCCGGCGGCTCCGAGGGGGCAGGAGCTCCCTGCCCGGCTCGTAGCTCGGCCGCGTAACGCCGGGCACGGCAGCGCAAGTCACGGGCACACAACGGACTGTGCAGAGGGTTTATTCTCGATCGCTAATTGCTTGTTACAACTTAAGCCATTTTGGCAAATTTCTCAGATTCCAACTTCCCGACACAGCCTCTCCCGTTGCAGCACTGGGTCAAGCTCTCGCTGCACGGCACGTGCTGCCCTTGGGGTGTCTCCTTCCCGTCCCTGGGAGCGTGACTCCATCTGAATTCCTTATCTTTAACCACAGATGAACATCGAACGAGCACATGGAGTTCCAGACGCTGATCCTCGGAGAATCCACGTGTGACAGAAAGGATGGATAAGCTTTTGGCTCAGTTCCAGCCTGGTGGAGCCTGCGTGTGGTTGTTTCAGGCTGATGTACGCGGAGGGCTACACTGTTTATTCCGCCAGGGCGTTACATCCAACGGTTTATTTCATTTATATATCTGTGGCAACGATCCCGTTACCTTCTTTCTGATACACGTGACGGCGCGTAGCAGATCACGCCTAGAAATATTGTGGTTTTGAAGTCCAAAATTAACCTGTTGGTGCTGGGATTTGTTAAACAAAGTTAGGCTCTCATCATAACAACATACAGGCTCATAGCACCTCGAGTTCAGTGATTTAAGCGGGTATTCAGCACCTGCGTACCAGGTCTAGGCCCAGCTGGCTAGGGTTCTGAGAAACAGCTGAATGATAATAAATAAGACTCCAGTGGCTGCAGCCCACCAAGTTAAAAAAATTAGTTTAAAACCAAGGTAGACCAATGTGTTTTCCTGATTAAAGGCAAACTGAAGTCTTAAGATACACATTAAACTTAAGTACGATACATGTGGCCGTCTAGTGTTGTTACGTATTATTATACACATGAATCAGACATATAGGTGGTGTGGGCATGTGATGGCCTGGTAGAGGATGAAATACTGATACTGTAAAGAAAGATTGGTAAATTGAATCTCTCTTCCCAAACCTGTTTCCCTCCCTCTATAAATAAATTTGATGCACAGAATGCAAGTTTAGGACATGGCATTATTGCTTCCTCTTCACAGAGGAGTTCGAGTTGCTGCTTTTGAGTTCCACCTGAAGCTACAACGCATTGCAGTCTTCAGCTGTTTTATGTTCACACACTGATGTTCTAAGTAATTTCTCTCTCCAGTGCCAGTGTTAGGAGCATGGGGTGAACACCAGGTGAGCGTTTCTATACCTAGCAAGAACGGGTCTGCTTGGCAGGATGCTTTAGGATGAGGGGGCAGACACCTCGAGTTGAGAGGTGGAGTCTTCAGTTACCTGCCAGCCTTTCTGTGTTGTAATAATGAACTGCTGAGGACGATGGTCGCACTGCTGCTGTGTTGGTTGGCAACTGGCATTTTGTCAGACGCCAAGGGATTTGGAAGGCTCCGTGTTCAGTGTGCTCTTCTATTCAGCCCTCTTAAGCAGGGACAACTCAATTGAATCATGAAGGTATGGACTGGAATTTTTGGCAGTTGTCGTTATCACTGATAATGATAAATTATCTCTCTATCAGCTAAACCTATCTTGTGTCCTGCCTTAGCATTTACTTTTTATGCTTGCTAGAACGTTCACTTTTGAACACGCTGGTTCTTTTTCTATGCAGCAGAAAACCAAGCCGTTTTGTGGAAACAGAAATGCTCGGTATTGGTAGGACATTGTGTGCTTGGGAGTAACATGCAGTTGTTAGAAAGATCCGTATGGAAAAACAGGATCCTGAGTTCTGATCTCAGCCTGATCTTGACTTGCTGGGTGATATTAGGTGAGTTACTTGACCCTTTTAGTGCTTATCATTCTGTAAACCATGAATCACACGTCCTGTCTACAAGGATGTTTTAAGATCTCAAGAACATCTTTACGTGAACATTCCCCGTGCCACGTTACATCAGTGATAAGGTTTATATTTTGCATAATTGATCAACTTACGGTCTTCAATGTTTTTAACTACTGTATTGATTTCCATTTCTAATGGATACAGACAAAAATATGTCCTTGGCACTTAACGTTCCAGCTAAATGACATATCACGCCCACATTTTTCTGTGCAGTAATATTTAAAAAAAAAGCAAGCCCAACCTCAAAAGAAAAGCAAGCTGTCCAGCCAACTGTCAATTAAATTGACATGTTTTTTCTTCTGAAGGGCCATGTTCTCAGTTGGCCTCTACCATCGTGAGTGCACGTGAAATAAAAAAAAAAATCACCATGTAGTTGCTTGACTGGACTTTGAGACTGCTTTGCATTGGTGATGCAATGACCAAAGTTCAGCCCAGTGGTTTTATGATACAGCCAGTGTGAGGGAGGTCAGGTTCAGGTTACAGTTTTGGTCTCCTGCAGTGTTTGGGTTTCTCCCCCACCACCACCACCTCACACAGAAAGAACCATTTGAAAAGTGTTACAGCTATTTTCTCCTGCCCAACCCCCCTCTACTTCTAGGCTTCCCTCCTTTCTATCTGAACTCTCCTGTGGGATTGACAGTTTTTCAGCTTCTCACTTCTTTGTTGCTATTATGTATTACAATTCCTCCCCCCAAACTTGTGAAATATCCCTTGATCATTTTTCACTTTCTCCTCAGGGTTGTTTCCTCCTGATTTGGTTTGAGAAGTTAGAATTACCTGTAAGCATCAAGTAAAACACTGTTGGATGGACAAAAATGACAGCCGTCTGCTTAGAAGGTCAGTTGTTAGCTGTAATTAAATGTTGTGTCACAATGCTAGAATATTTTACAAGGTGTAGAACTTGGACAGGCAGTGTAAGAAACCATCCTCTACTATAATGTTGCCAACAACTGCAGATGTGTGTTTACATAGGACGGAAAATAAGAATCCGTGTCGAAGAACATCTTTTTTGCACTGTGCCTGCAACCAGTTCTGTCAGGGTGTGTGTATATATATATATATATTTTTTTTTTAATAGCTACCACCAATCAGGGAGATAGATATGAATGCTAGCCAAACATGATTCAGATGAGAGCAAGGCTAAAAAAGAGAGAAGACAAACATGTCTGTAATATTTGCTGGCTCTCCAGTAATGGCTTACGTAAAAGAAAGTTGGTTATCAATTATTCATCAGAGAATTTATGTATTGGTAGAAACACAGAGGAGTGCTAGATATAACTGTACTGAAATCAAAAGGGGAATTAGGTTCATATATACACCAAACTTCAAGCAGATCTATGTAACATTAAGACTCCCACCCACCTTTACCACTTCTTTACTGACACACATCCTGTATTCCATTAACCACGTAATTCACCCCTCGCTGCACTCTTCATTTGTTGTAGCCTCTCAGTTAAATGCACTATTTCTATATAAAGCACATCATTAATGAGTTTTATTGACAGTTTGCTACTGAACAGCCTAGAGCAGGAGTGACTCAGAGTAGGAAAGGCTGTGCAGCATGCAACTCCCTGTGCATGAATTTGCAGAGATAAGGAGCCTCATTCTGATCTTCTGAGTTTAGCTCCACGGATTCCGTGCTTTCTGACTTGGTGCAAGTCAGATCTGTGCTGATGTCTCTGAGGCCGCCCAGGTTAGACTGTGGTGGTGGGTGCTGCAAGTTAGTCATGGCCTTATTCCTTCTGAACTCTCTGACTGTCTGCGACCGATCCTGGATGTGAGGAAGAAGACGATGTTTACCAGTGTGGTTAGAAACTGCTCTCCCTTTATTCGCTCCCGTCTCACCCTGTAGTTTGCAGGAAGGTATCTCTGCCCAGAGCTGCTTGTGTGGTATCACTCTTAGCCACTGCAGCTGTGGAGCTGCACAATACTTTTGGCAGTTGTATACAACTGTGACAAAAAAAAAAAAAAAAGAAAGAGGAAGAAATCCCCTAATGGTTATGGAAAGAGTTATTACTTGACTTTTCTAAGTTTTTCATGTATCTTTAATGTTTTCTAAAGATAATCTGATTATGTAATCTGGGAAAAATATGACCTTTATGTCTGAAACTTAAAAATATATTCAAGAATACTGTTGAAGTGTCCACAATCCTGAGTGCTTAGATACAGGCAGGAAGGTAAGAAAAAGATTTTTATTTTTTTTTTAATAGTTACTGAGGTGAAAGAAACCCACAGCTCAATCTACAAGTGTAATTGTGAGTCCACAAAAAGCTGTATTATCACTCTTATTACTGGCGTAACTTTCAAAATAAAATAACAACAGGAATGCATATGGCTACTATGTTGTGAAGAATGTAATTAGAAATAAAAGGGAATCATTAATTTGGTTAATTTTGGAATGTACGGAACACTGTAGTTTGGACCATCACTTTTAGTCTTTTAACTGACAGCAGAAGAGACACAGTTAAAGACGTGGTATGTTTACTTGTGATTTTTTTCCTGCATGTCTATCTCTGGTTGTATTAAAATGATTTGATACTTGATATTTTACATTCAAAAGCAGCAAAATGCATAGAAACCATTTATCATTTTGTTGATATAAATTACTGTTCATTTAAATGCTGGCACTACCTGTTGGGAAAGTTGAAATCTGTTTCCTGGGATAGTTGGTACAGAACAAAAGTCATACCTGGCTGTAGTCCTGATAAGTTAGAGTGTGAGGGGTTACGTGAGGGGTTGTGTCTGCCCCGGCAGGCCCTGACGAGCCGGGGAAGTGGAGCACCCAGAGCCTGTGCTCTGTCATGGGCACTACCCCCTGCTGCTCCAGGCGTGCCAGGGAGGAGCCGCCGGGGCCAGCTCCCTGGCACTGGGCAGGTTCTTGGGCTCAGAGCATGGCCCTATCCACTGGTTTTGAAACCACTTCCCTGTAGGTCCTTTGGATTCTGTCACTGGCTGACAGACCCATAAGGCCCCTCTGGCCTCTGTTACCTCAGGGCCAAACTCCACTTGGTTTTTTTCTCTTTCTGTTACATTTTCAGAGAATCCCGAGGGTCCTGTTTAGTCGCTCAGTGGGAGAGCGGAGGGTGGGAGAAAGCTTGCAAGGTCAACTCTGTTCAGAAGCCCTCCCTTGGCCTTCAGCCCTCCCCTCAGCAGCTGGATTTCAAATGGCAAGGGAAGGTTTTGTTGATAGGACCCAGGGGAAAGCCCCCTTAGCGTAGAAGGATCTACAGAGTCCTTGTCACTGAGCAGTGATGAGGAAAGCTGCTCCCTGCAGGGAAAGCCTTGTGTTTCTCTCTCTGGGCATGTCTGTTCTCCCATTATCGCTGGTTTTAGTGCCATATTTACTTTTGCCTGCTTTGAGATAGGTACGGTATATAAGCGCTTTTGTACTAGGGTAGGGTGTGATTCTGCTCAGTTGGAGTCTGAGGGTTGGAAGTAGATAGTTTACTAACTCTGGGGTGCCAGAGGGTGTGAGGTGTGGGTCTACCCCTGCTTGTGCTACGCTAAGTGGTGATTACTCACCAAATTTGAGGCGACTTTACTAGCAAGGTCTAAAGTAATGCTGTTTCTGTGGCTTAAAGAGTTAAGCTGTGCAGCTGAGTCACTGTAACCTGCTTGATGCTCACTCATAGCCTTCCCTCACTGCCAAAAATGCTTTAGCACAGACTATCTTTAAGCTAAGCTTTTCTTTTTCAGTCACGAGTGAGAACTGGGTATGGTCGTCACACACGTGACAAGCAGTAACGCATGAAGCCATAGTAACTTGATTGCTTTGGTTATACATGTAACACATTATTTTAAGAATCTCTTTTCCGCAAGAGAGAGAACTATTTAATTTCTTAACAATTTGGGATCAAATTTATCCCAATGGAATCTATACAGGGTTAATCAATAGTGCTAAATTTAAGAAGGAAAGAATAAGTAATTTTTAAGGAATAGCCAAAGAAAAATTTTCTATTTTGAATAAATAATAGAATCATTTTTTCATGGAAAGACTTGGCGTTCAGCAGAAAAAGGTGAACAGCAAAACTTAGTGGGTAAGGTGTTTAGTGGGACAGGGAAATTTCAGTGTTTTCAGGTGTTTGTACTATTCAGGTTAATCAATAAATCCAGTAAAATCCTTTTTTGTCCCATAGGTGAAGGGTCTGTATTGAACTCAAGGCCTCTGGGAGGAGGAATAAAGTTCTGTGCAAGTGTTTGAACAAGGGAGATGAACTGAGGGAAGGACAAGAAAAAGGTCAGGACCCACAGAACTGTTACAGCCACCCACACAGCACTATTGGTCTTTGAGTTGTGGTTATCAACCAGGATTTCACTATTTCCAAAGCAAAAGTATTAAAATACAAGAACATCAATTAGAAAATGTTGACAGTTGGTTAGTAGAGGAAAATGGCAGGGGGGAAAAGAAAGAAGGAAGGATGAAATAGCAGTGAATGAGGTCAGGGGGATGTTGCTGAGAAGCAGCACATAGACCTGAGCTGGCATTTGGACGTGCAGAGAGTGAGGCAAGGAGGGAAGGGGGCAGTTTGATTCCATGGCACAGTGGTGGGACTGTTAAAGGGAACATACATTTAGAAGATAAGTGTTATGCCTAAGCTAGGCTTTGAAGTGTGGATTGAAATGATGATAGAAAAATCTTAGTTTCTTTAAACATGAAGAAAGTAATTTTAATTGTGTGTTTGAGGGCAAAGTGATAAGTCACAAGTTTGGAAATGACAAATGCTTGCCAGAGCTATAAGCATGACCTTCAGTGGTTGTGCTATAGTACTCGGAGTATTTACATGACCACATGCATTTTTCCTGTTCAAATAACATAACTTGGCGGTAACGTACCATTTCTGAGCTATGCTACCGTGTGCATAGGTATATCTTCAGATGACTGAAGAAAAAAACCCAAATATTACCAAGGTATAATGGGAAATTAGTTCAGTTATTTAGTATCGAGTTTTTACTTTTGCATTTCACAGCATGGCAGCAAAAGTGTGGCAGATTTTTCTTGGAAAATTAGGATGCATTCCAGCAGAAACTGATGCAGAGATTCATCTTTTTCCTGAAAAATAGCTTCCGCTATTCCCCATAACTAAGTACTGAGAGCCTGCAGGATCAGGGCCTAACCAGTCACATCCTTCTCACTGTTTTTTTTTCTTTTCATCCAGGAAAACAAAGCGCTCTGTCTCCATGTTAAAATGATTGGAGATTGAACTTAGGGGGATCTAGCATGTGATTACTTTTTTTAGAGAGGATTTTCTTCGTAGCTGAATTGGACTGAGTCTTTTTTTTTTTTTTACTCCCAAACCAGATGGTAAGTGATTCAGTACTTTTAGCAGTAGAAAAATGATTTGTTTTCTTTCCTCAGTAGTTGGTGTGAATGTACTTTTCTTTATCTATTTACATATTATGTAAACACACTTTACCAGCATTTATGTACATCGTTTACAGTCCTAATCCTGCAGAGAGCCCTGTGTAGGCATGTAGAAGGAGCTGACATGGCTTACAGAGAGCTGTTTGCATGGAACTCATGGCAGGGTTGTGACTGTATTTGTATTTTTTATGTATACACTTAAATTTATCACACCGTACGAGGATGCCAACAGAACTGCAAGTCTACAAAACGGTTAAGTAACTTTGCATGCTTTACTTTTTTTCACCTAACAGAGTCTCTGGGGATGCCCTGGATCTCTTCTGCTGTCTTCCTGTGGTAGGCTGTAGTCCTTGTGACTTTTAAGGCTAAAAGCTTTATCCTTATCCTAGAGTGTTGGGGTGAGTTCTTCCTGGCGTGCAGGGGGAGCGAGGGCCTCCTCCGTGTGACCATTTGGACTTGTACTGATGCTACTAGGGGGACTTCGGAAGGGATTCGCGTAGTGGTAAGAAATATTTGGGGGAGTGTTAAAAAAAAAACCCTGCTTTCACATGTGTACCTGACTTTTCAAGGTTATCTGCATCTATGTATGTGTATATATAATGTTAAAACTGAATGCTAATTGCAGCATTGTTCCTTATTTTGTGCTAAATAAAACATACGTGTAAACCTTATCTATGCTGTGTCAGCACATGGGTATTGGGGGCAGAACAGAAGGATCCGAAGCTGATATTATAGGGAAATAGTACGTTACAGTGTCCAGCCACCGATTCCTTATTCAACAAGGTACGAACAGGGTTGCCCAAGCAGCCTTACAGTTGTCCTTTCTAAGCAGTTAAGAGCTGTTTTGTAAATCTGATGTGCTTTTACCCTAGTTTGTCTGAGAATTAAAACACTGAATGCATAGAGTCGTACTGCTGCTTTACTGAGATGATAGTACTCCGCTTCAAGATAGTGACCAGTTTCTCTGTTTACAAATCTGGCTGTATACAGCTGGAATGGGATCATCCCATTCTCTTCTTGGTTCTCGTCTCATCTGTGCACGCTTCAGTTGAGTCACTGGGGGTTCGTGCACAGGAGCTGGCCCCTTGCCTTGTTCTCCAGGTTTACCAGGGAGTTGAAACCCAGTTCTTAGCATCTCCCACTTGAAAAATCTGACACTTTTCTGCTTCTGTGAACTCTAGTAGGGGTAAAATGACACATGAATTAGCATCAGTGCTGTGACATGTCAAGTTTTTCCCCTCAAATTATTCAGTGGAAAGGTGGCAGAAGAGGGCCCTTGAAACTAGCATTGTTTTTTTGACATGGATCAGTAGTCAAGCTGGGGTGATTCATTGTGCCCTGTATTTGTGTAATAAATTCATTTTCCCTTCATAGAAGGGGAATTGTTTGGGGGAATTTGGATCTCGGACTACGTAGCTGTCAGTGCAGTCACACAAGGTGGCAGAAAAATGCATCCTCAGAAGGGGACAGAATTCTGCAAGGTGCTGCTGCAGGGGGTGGAGTGTGAATCCGGTCTGAGGTCGGATTCCCTGCTGGGAGGAATGAGAGCTTGTTTGGCCAGTGCTCTCTGTGTGTTATACCGAGGGCTGTACCTCTGGACGTACCTCATCGCGGTCATAGTCACGTTTCTTAAAACTGGCAATTGCTTTGTTACATTACCAGAAAGAAATAAATGTACAAAGCAACTGTTACCAACTTCTAAACGCTGTATCTGTAGAAGAGCGGGACAATAACTCCTAACCCAGCTGTTGCGGGCATGCAGGGATTAAGATTTCTGTTTTCTCAGCCTGTTGCTGTGCCTGCTCAGCGCTCGTAATCGCCTCCTGACTGGCAGCAGAGTGCTTGCTACCCAGTGCCCCAGTTCCTGGTGTCCCCTGCACCTAGCTGCCTGTCCCTCACTGCCCAGGTGTTGCACTGGGAATGGTGCCGTGCCTGGGAGTGTGACAGTGGCTGGGATGGGTAAAGCAAATGAAGGCAGCCCGGGAGAAGTTAAACCAGGTGATCTGTCAGGGACAATGAGCAAAATCTGCCCTCAGTGTGGAGGGCTCTGAAGAAACAGGGTTGGAGACCAGTTATTTGTTACCTGCTGGGAGCCCCAGGGAGTAAATACTGTGGAGAAAACTTGACTCAGAGCTTTGAGGACTAAGTAATTGCTGGAAGCTCTAGGTTACTTAGGGCATAGGCATGCATTTATAAGCACTGGAAGTACAGAAGAGAGTTTCTTCTGGTTTCAGTTAATAATAGGGCACGTTGTGTACACTTTGTTTGCTTGACTGGTTCATTTTATTGTGTGTAGATACACAGTAGAAACAATTTTGTCTTTTGTTCAGTGTTACTCAGCTGGCGTGCTTCTTGTAAATCAAATGAATTAAGAGGAGTAAGTAACCTGCTCTGGTCTGTCTGTGGAACAAGGTCCATTTAAAATAAAGGCCTGCGAGGATACGGTGGGACTGCAGAGGACTTAGAAGGACTGCGAGCAGAGGAGGCATCATGTGCAGCAGAGCAGAAGCCTCCAGGCTGGGTGTGCCACAGGCACAGCAACTCACTGGCACTGCGAGTTGCCTCAGTGAAAAAGGAGTTCTGCTCTCCCGTGTCTGGTACAAAACTTAAGCTCCACTGATCTTAGTGGAAATGACGTGGTTTTGTACTAGGGCAAATGAGAGCAGAATCTGGCCAACTGTTAATAGCTTTTTGTATTTGGGGCTGAAATAAAGTGGCTGTGTATGCAAATAATTGTGCAAGCGTGACTTCTAAGTGACTTATAAAAGGAGAATTCAATATTTGTTGGAAATACAAACTGGCACAAATCTCCTGGTTTGGCTGAGCTGTACTTGACCTGTGACAGAGAGAGCAAAGGTGATTTTTAAGTCCTGGGATCCAAGGGGCCAGTGTGCAATGTAATTCAGGGCAGAGTCAGTGCATTGGCTGCTTTGTCATTACAGATGCTTATTTTGTTTACAAAACCAGTTGATTCATTATCTTTTATTTCCTTTATCTCATCTCAATCTTTATGTGTGAACCTGAGCTATTTTACTTCAAGGGGGTGGCATGTAACTGGCATTAAAAAAAAGAGGTTGGTAACAAGAAGTTGGTTGTTTTGATATAAAGATGTTCTGATGTAACCAAAATGATAAAATCAGTTAAATCTGTGTGTAGAATGTGAAGACTTTGTGGGAAGCCTAGCAAGTTGAAAATAACCTTTCTTCTGCTCTGTCCTGCATTTCTTGCAATATTTTGACCAGTGCCTTGGAACAAGGATAGTTTAGCTCTTAGAATATAAAAGACAATTAGAGGCAATCACATTGCTGTAGCTTAACACAACTGTCATTCCTCGGCTGTGCTTCAGGAGCTCTGCTCTCATGCTCTGTGGTGAAATGATACCTGTTGGCTTAAGCCATCTTCATGTTGTTAAATTCTTAAACTGTGGTCATCTCACCACAAGCTATCAGCTGTCCTAGAAACGTAGCCATCTCCTGAGAGCAGGGAATGTTTTTTCTGAGGCCAAGATTTAAAAATACTTTTACCTTTCAGAGAGCCTCCAGGATTTGACAAAGTAAATTTTACTTATACAAGCTCGTCCCTCCTGCCCG